TGGAGAATGGAAATATCAACAAGGCAGCAATTTGTGAACCAGCAGGTATTACAAGTTCGCTTTAATTGATGAAAAAGTAATGTGCTGGTCAAAGAAGTGACGTTTTAATTGCTTTTGTTTAGTAAACCCACAGATTAGAAATATACGGTTAGGCTGGGTATGAATACTCTGTCAGTACTAACTGGATGTCATTTGCTTTTTGTAACAAGACTATACTGTTATAGAGCTAATAACAGATCTTGAACGATGTACAGTTTTAGCAGAAAGTTTATAATATTTATAGTTTCACTTATTTTGTAGCCTCTGGTGCGGAGATCAAGTACTTGCATTTCTTGAACTAGGGTAGTATATATGTCTCTCTTCATCTCCTAATAAATTACTAGTTAGAGAATAGTTAGAAAATCAAGCAGAAAATTTTGATCAGAAAAAACAGCTGACATTTTGCAGAAGTTAAAGTACCATTTTTCTGCTCTTTTTTTATAGACTAATCTTTTGGCACCGTCTCGGTCTTGTAACACCTGTTTGTTTGGGACTTGAAGATTTGTGAAATTTTTGATTCAATATTTATTTGGTGAGAACAGATTTTCTGACAGCGAAGTGCAATTGTGAAAAACTGCACCGGAAATTTGGAGAGACGTGGAATTTTACTGCGGATGCCTACTTCGGTTTGCGTATGTGCACTGTGAAAAGAAATGTACCAGAAATTAAAGTTCCGCACCCACTGTTTCTGTTGGTGTTGAATAGGGGGTTTTAGTTTGTTTTGTGAAAAAATTTATCAGCTGTTGCTTTTCAGGAACTGCGGCCAAGATGTTTATGATTCAGTAGGTGTTACTGAATATTCTTGCGCACAGTAAGCATATTATTTGCTAATTAAAAGTGATTTTCTCATTATTTTAAATTCAGACAAGGTTTGAACGTACAGTAAAATAGCAGTAAAAGTTCGACTTCAGTAAATACTGGAGTATTCCAGCAACAAGTAGCTGCGGCGAGCTTATACCCCTTTTTTTCATAACTTAAAGATGTGTATACCTTCTGGACTCACCTCTGATGCCTTAAAACTGATAAAT